ATATTATAGGCGTCTATTATATATTAAAACACCGTGGTCAGGTCGCCAGTCTAGAATAACAGAAACGATAAACCCACGTCCAGCACTCCCACGTCACAAGCTTGCGCAATGACCACAGATTACTCGCCTCCTATTTAAGTCTCCTTTCCGGCACCGCGGGCTAAAGTTACAAACTGCGCTTCTACTTCAGACATCTTCACAGCCGGTAAGTCACAGGTGCTTTAATTTGTGCATGCGCAACAGCGTTCTTTAGCTGTTCTCAGTTCTCAGTACTGTTCTCAGTAAAGTGGTTTAAAAATAACGCAGGCTGCACTGCACTCTCCGACAGCGGTGTGAAAGCAGCCTGCAGCAGTCGCTGCAAAAACTATCTGAAGGTTTATTTGTCATGCGCTCCCGATTTTCTCCGTGAAATAGCTGTTGTTTACACAGGGCTTCATAACTCAAGACTCCAACTTGGTAATAGTTCAATAAAAGCTAAAATCTGTTATATTAGCTACTCTGACTCCAGAAGTAGCTGAATAAGTAGATAAATATTACACTAAACGTATTATTATTATTATTTAAGAGTGCTATTATGTGTTTTTGCAAAATTCAAACGAACAATATGCTGAAATGTCCCCCCTGCATCATATTTTATTTTGCTCTTTATGTTTGTTTCATTCTCCATAAGAAATTTATTCAAGAAAGGACTTTTTTAAATCTCTTATCCTCTAATTTTAAAGATGGATATATCAGTAATCACAGAAATAAATCACAAGCTGGAAACCTTCAAAGCTGCAAGGAACTTAAGATCATTTCCAGAAAGCATTCATGAACTAGGAACAAACATCTAATCCTATTAAGTCAAATTACTGAACAAGGAGTCCAGTCTGTGTACCTCCTATTGTTTAAGATCTCTGCTGGTCTTAACGTTCTCCTCCTCGTGCCAGAACCCCTCTGAGCTGACAGGATGAATTCACGTGTTCTGAAGATTAAAGATGGGAAGTTTGTGAAAGTCCAGAAATTGTACAATGGACTCAAGCTGTGTGCTGTTGACTCCCAAACAAGTAAGAATTTTAACAGCAAAATCATTCAGATTTGTCTAAGTGGCAATCCAAAAACAGGAAACAGCATTGTTTACACTGATAGCTTTATATGTGCACTGATTTATTGCATGAAATGGGTTATTGTGTCACTAATAAAGAAGTAAAGTTAATGTTATTTTGTTTGGTTTTTTTAGATGATCATACGGTCTACATAGAGAAACACCGCTCATACAACTGGATAGCTTTTAAATTCAATCTGAAGGGTGACAATATGGTGAAAGACTATTTCCTAAAGGGGGACAAACACTCCCTTGAGGTAAATAGAACAATGCATTTTCTCTCTCTCCGTCTCCCTGTCGATCATTCAATCTAAAACTACAGATGTAGACTTGTATCAGTTACTTTTTTTACATCTCTATCTCATCCTAATGATATTTACTCGGCCAGCAAGCGAGATGGGCAGTTTAGACAGTCTTTCCAAGTTCTGTTCAGTTTGATGGTATAAATTAATAAAATTATGTTTAAAAAGGCCAGAGAATTCACGGGTTACAGTTATTCCAAAATATTTGAAGGTATTTGAGATTGTAAAAGGAAACGAGATCAATGTAGTGCTATCTAATTTTTCTAAAGAACTAATCGGAAACAATATGCTTTTTGTTAAGTTGATTTTGTATCCAGAAATTTTCCCAAATTCAGTTAAAACTGTCATAATTTTTGGCAATGATTTAGTAGGGTCAGTGATATATAGCAACAAATCATCTGCATAGAGAGACACCTTATGTTCTACACCAAATCTCCTTATTCCTTTATAATCTTTTGTAGAGCGTAATTGAATGGCAAGAGGTTCTATGACAAGTGCAAATAGCAATGGGGACAAAGGGCACCCTTGTTTTGTAGAGCGGTGGAGGAGGAAAGAACTAGAAGTTATATTATTTGTATTAACCGAGGCCTTAGGTTTTCTGTAAAGCAGCTTAACAAAAGAGATATAATTAGGGCCTATGCCATACTTTGACAGGGTCGAGAAAAGGAAATCCCACTCAACCCTGTCAAAGGCCTTCTCTGCATCTAATGAGAGTAGTATTTCAGATTGATCAGAAGTATTATGTGTATATATAATATTGAATAGCCTTCTAATATTAAAAGATAACTGTCTATTTTTTACAAATCCCGTTTGGTCCTCCGACACAACTGTTGGGAGAGCTATCTCTAATCGCATAGCCAGAATTTTGCCAATATTTTATTATCTACGTTCAATAGACTTATTGGTCTGTACGAACCAGGTTCCAAAGGATCCTTACCAGGCTTGTGGATTAGAGAGATAGTGCTATCATACATGGTTGAAGGTAAGCATCCTTTAGTTAGAGCTTCGTTATATACCTCCAAAAGAACGGGTGAAATTTGTTCACTAAAGGTCTTATAGAATTCAGCACTATACCCATCTGGACCGGGACTTTTTGAGCACCGCATACTTTGAATAGCCTGATTTATCTCCCTTAATGTTATTGGTTGTTCCAACAATAGTTTGTGTTCTATATTGATAGATGGAACTTGAATAGAATCGAAAAAACTTTCGATTATGTTTGGATCTTTTTTTAAGTCTGAAGAGTAAAGTGCTTTATAATACTCTCGGAATACATCATTAATTCTCTTTGGGTCAGTTGTTAATTGCCCTGCACTAGTTCTTATTTCTGTAATCAGTCTTGAAGCTGCAACTTCTTTAATTTGCCTTGCTAGTAAACTACCTGTTTTTTTCCCCGTGTTCATAGTACTTATGTCGAAGTTGTGTAAGTAATCTTATCGTGTCATTTGTATAAAGCAATTTAAATTCTGTCTGCAATGAGACCTTCTTTTTATAAAGTTTAGATGAAGGAGAGATAGCATATTCCTTGTCTATTTCTAAAAGTTCCATTGTTATGTTTAACTCTCTTTCTTTTCGTTGCTTATTCCTATAGCTACTCAATGAGATAATTTGGCCTCTCAAGTAGGCTTTTAATGTGTCCCATAGTATGGATCTCGTAACTTCAAGTGTGTCATTTATTGAAATAAATAGCTTGATTTGATCCTTTATTTCATTTACTAAGATATTATCTAACAGCAAACCATTATTAAATCTCCATTTTGGTGCAGTAGGTCTATCTCCTATTGCTAGTTGTAGCAATACTGGACTATGGTCAGATAAAACTATTGCCTTATAGTCATAACTTTGGATCTGTGTAAGAAATCTATAATCTAGTAAGAAAAAGTCTATTCTAGAATAAGTATGATGAACAGAAGAGAAAAATGAAAATTGCTTACAGTTAGATCCATTTAGAGCTATTTCCCCTATCAGTTTATATGTCTTCATAAGTTCTTGAATAGTTTTCACAGATTTTGATTTAAATACTGATCTTTGTGATGATCTATCAAGACTAGAATCTAAAACGAAATTAAAATCGCCACCAATTATCAGTTTATGGGTGTCCATATTAGGTAAAGAGGATATAAACGATTTAATAAAACCTGCATCATCAACATTAGGGGCATAAATATTTTCTAGTGTAACCTGATTGTTATAAAGTTTTCCTGTAACTATGATATAACGTCCACGAGGGTCCGATAATACTTTTGACGCTATGAAGGGAATCCCTTTTTTGATAATAATGGCTGCACCTCTATTCTTAGCTGTAAAGTTAGAATGAAACACCTGCCCAATCCATCTGCTACATAGCTTCTTTTGATCCTGATTTCTCAAATGGGTTTCCTGCAAATATCCTATATCTGTCCCCAGTTTTTTAAGGTGTGCTAGAACATTGCCCCGCTTAACAGCACTATTGAGTCCTTTACAATTCCATGACACAAAATTTACTAGGTTTTTATAATTATCAATAACCATTATTTAACTTATAAATAAAGATTTGCAACCCAATTAAACCCTTTCCCCCCTCCTTTTTTAATAAAATGGCCTCCAAACAAAATACAAACAAAAGTGCAGGTGAGAACCCAAACAAAAAACCCCACAAAAACAGTCCCTACTTCCTCTCTGCTCCTCCCTGACCAAAGCGCTCCAACAGAGCTTGGACAGAGAGGGGACTCCATACAACAAAAGTATTTAAGTCTCAACTCAGAGAGA